TCATCTCAGGAAAGCTCTGGCAGCAAGAAAATGCATCGACCAAGGACAGGAAGGCACGTCAGATTCCGCAGAAGGGGAAGTTTAGAGTCCAAGTTATCTTAATTTAGGATATTTCATTTTCTTTTCCAAATGTCGTAACTGGTCTTGTTTGACCGGAACTCATAGTCAAGCCTCGGTTATAAATATTAAACCCCGGCTATTGTAATAGACATCCACACATCAATCAAAACAAGTACCTTTACTTTTTCGGCCCCATGCCACCCTTAGAAGTAGGAGTAGAGTAGATTCTGGTGAGTTCCTTTAGCAAGCAGGGTTGCATCGGTCCAGACGACCTCCGGTTTGTTGTGAGTATCGTCATGACTTATACTTTGTTTGTAAGGTCACATCGGTTAGGTATGATCTCTTGCAAGCTTTGTATAAGTTAGTTATCGATCTATATTGTTATTTGTAAGACTGCAATGATCCAGTCAATCTTTTATAGGTAGTGATATAGATTAGTTGTCGATATTGTGTTAAATAGTTTACTATTCAGCATAATATCACCAATTGCTCGATCTAGATTAAAGATTCCTCGGTCTTCATCTTTCGATCTATCATTTGTTGATTGTTTTTACGCCAAAATCCAACTGTTGATGTTAGATCTCGCTTATCGACCGTTTTATCTTGATCTTGATCAATCAGAGCGGGTGTTTGAAGTCATGTTTCCATTAAGTAATAGGTTTGTTAGTCATCAATCTCGTCTTTGTCGCCTTCGTTATCAACATGTTGGTAGCGCACTAGATCAGGTATTGTTGGTTAATGGATCTATTTGTTAAGGGAGATATGACATCATCCATCCGCTATGTTTGTATCGGCTATTTTAGCCAATAGCTTGAGCTTTCACGCGTATGGCACACGTTCACGATTCCATCAAAATATAAGTAGATCTACAGATTGCTAGGCTTGTAGTTTGCCGTTCTACTATCAATGTTGCATCGATTCGGTCGACCTATTGATAGTGCCATAAATTGGGTTTGGTCAATTTGTAGATTTATTTATGCTTCGGTGGTTGAAAGTTCTCACGCTATATGACAAGAACTACCTAGATCGGCCTCTCGGCCATTTGCTTATGCTTTCACGTTCATAACACGTGCTCATAATCTTGTCTAAATATGGATAGATCTATGTGTTTTAAGAGTTTAATTTGTTATCGTTATTATGGCTGTCTTCGATCCGCTCGACCCTCCTCTATTAATGATAATTGATTAGATTGATGAGCTTGTAGATCCATTTATATTAGATAAGTGATTGATCACGTGATATGTATCTGTTTACCTTGGAATCGGCTATTTTGCCGATGGCCCATGCATTGCAAATATATTGGCTTTTATTATTGTACTTGTTCTTGTCTTGATCTTTAAGCCAATATAGGGTATAATCAATGCAAATGCTTTCACTCGTATCAGCTCTCTACCATGTTCTTGCATGTTTTATGAACATGCTGGATATCGACTATTTAGTCGATAGGCTTATCGAATCGGCTATCTAGACGCACATTTGGAACTGTCTGGAGCAACACCAGCATGTTCCACCTTAAATTATTGATTACCTTTCTCTCCTTGTCAATTATAGGGTTAAATTGACTGGCACGCCCTAGGTCACGACCATCCGGTCCGGTGTCCTCCTAAGTCCGGGGAGAGCTTGGGATCTGCTCCACGCGGTTTCTCTCGGCTTGCTGCGTGTGCCGGCGGCGAGTCACTTTTTGCCGTCGACACATACACTTCAAACATACGTATATAGCCAGTGCAACATATGCAACATCCAAATAAATAGTTATAACTTGCAACATGAAAACACTTGCTGCAACATAAGACTGAAACATTTAGAACATACTCTTGCAACATATGTGTGAAATATATAAAACATCTAGATCAAAATGCTTGCAAACATATATTTGAAACCGATGAAACATTTGGAACAAACGCTTGCAACATTCATCTGAAACACTTGCAACATGTGCAACATCCCGATCTACTTTTGCAATATCCATATAAAGCACTTGCAACATACCTCTGAAACATCTGAAACACTGGAAACATAAGCTTGCAACATGCGCTTTTAGCGCAGCGCCATCTCCATGCTGCTTGAGAGAATGGAGGCTCATCTGCGTGTGGAGTTCACCGGAGGCAGCAGCATGGCAAGGTGGCAGCGCCCGCACGACTGCAAGAGGGAGCCACTTGTGTTGCCCCTGCCGCACTGGTCCGCCCATGACCGGGGCCGCCGACGTCGTTGCACCGCCGTGCCGAGGGCCGCTCGGGCCTCCTCATCGTGGCCCACTCACGCCAAGGCCACTGCGCCATCGGGCCGTGACGCTTGCCCGCACCGTAGAGAGAGAGAGAGAGAGGGAGTAGCGTTGGAGGCATGAGAAAGGAGCATTGGCTGATAAGGCACGCATGCGGGCACAGGCGTGTCAGGGTCGGGGTACAGGCGCGGGCAGGTCGGGTCCAAGTACAGGTGCGGCGCGCGTCGGGGTCCGTCCATCCGAACGTCCTCATCTTATCATTATCGTATTAAGAAACATGCAAACGATTCTGTTTACCGTTTTTTTATTAATAATAATATTAGGTTTAGGTGCAGGTGTATGTATATGTATATATAGTTGATTGCCCTTGCGTTGCTATGGACATATATAGATTCCAATCACATAATGTCACACGAGAGCGAAAACAATAAACATGATAAAAGAAGCATGAAAAAATTAGCAACATGTTTTGAAATGAATTAGTGGAGTCAGCAATAATCTTTTTTGCTTTGATACATGATGAGTTAAAGTTTTTCTTTGAATAATAAACATTTCATGCAGTTTTGAGATCTTGGACAAACCAAGAGCTATTCCCTAGTTTGTTTCATCTCACAAGAGTCACTCTCGATCTTTCTCTCTTGTTGTAATGCATGAATATTTCATTTGCCCCCGTAAACATATTTTCCTGCAAAGAACCAACCAAAAACTGAGCCCAACAACATAACACATATATACTTTTTGCCAAAAATGCTCAAAAGATGTCAAGATAAATAAAAGGTAACAATCAGCATTTTCTTTCATATCTAGTCCATGCTACTGTAACCCAAACCGAATTCCCATAAAATCTAAATTTACTAAGAGTCCATGAATCCTCCTGTATATCCTAGAAATCATATATTTTCAACTGTGGATTGTTCAGAATGTGAAATCCAGAGCAAAAGTATAGCTATGTACATTGAAATTAGGCACATGCAAGATAGCTAAAAAGGCCTAGTCAACAAATCAAAACAGGGCATAAGGTAGAACATACGCAGGAAAGTCACATCCCGGCAAGACACTGGTACAAGGAATTTGGTTAAGCTACTTGTAGCGATGTTTTAGAATGCACAAGGACCAAGAGGGGTCCTAAATCAGGCAGGAATGTAATGCCATATAAAACACATTATACATTTGGTCAGAGGCAGAGTTAGAAATGCAAATCTTTTTCTTTTTTTCGAAGGGGTCAACAGTACAATCCCCCGCCCCAAAAAAAAAAATCAATTTTAAAAATTTTCAGTAGAAACTCCAGGGGCTTAGGGGGTCTCTTTCTGCCATTGCATATGTTACAATGCACAAAAGGGCATGCCAATTGTATGCAGAGTATATTCAGTGATGCCGAGCCTGATGTTCGGCAGGGCATCAAATGGTGTGAATGTGCATTGCATAGAGGGAAATTTGGTAGGCACAGGTTAGACTGGGAAAATCTTTGTGTAGGAAGTGAATCACATCATCTACATGTGATTAACAGGGCCACTGACCGCACATGGGCATTGGAAACTTGGAAATGCTTAATGTAGTACACTGATCCCTCTAATTGGGGCTCGAATATGGTGATCTAGCTTTCTGGAATCTGAAACTCCATAGCTCCCCTATTTTAGATGCGATAGGCTAGGTCAAACTAAAGGGAAACACATAATTTTAGAGGGGTTTACAAACATCTTTACCTCTTCATCAAGAAGGATCATGTCATATCTAAAACTGAAAAAGGGAACATGGATTTACCTGTTTGGAAATAACAAGTCCATGGAGATAGTTCTTTCGGTGTAGGGATGCAGGGCATAAACAATAGTAATGATAATCAAAAGCGACATTGAGCTTATTTCATACCATTTTTTTGTGTGAAAAGTTTTAAACAATACGCTCTAGACCTAGAAAGACTGCAGGTCCATATCACAAAATTCATTGATTTCTAAAGAACAATAACATGGTAATTACCAAAATAGTTATAGTTCAACTTCAGAAGCTGCAGTAAAAATTACTGAGGTAGTATAATGCCAAGGACTGTGTTGCCAATAGCACACCTACATTGAGAAGATTTTCTGGATCATAATGCCAAGGACTGTGTTGCCATATCAGCTCTAGATAGAGCTACTGGCATCAAGTAGATCTTCATATCGAAATGCAGACACATCTGCAACATGAGGCATCACTCAGGACTTCGTGTGCACGGTTCTCAGAACATGGAACGCCCACAACTGAAATCAAGATAATAGAACAACAGTACACAATTGAAGGTCTGAACGCCCACAATTGAAGGTCTCAGAACATGATTTCTCTGCATTTGGATCCAAAAGCTGCCCTCACCTATGCATTGTTTCTTGTATATCATGACTTGATAAAAAGAAATTCAACAGCCGGGAAAGCAAGCAGAAACTTGTGACTGATATAGCTGCAGTTACGTAAAAAAAAGAAAGAAAGAAATAACAGCCAGGAAAACAAGCAGAAAAATGTGACTGACATAACTTCAGTTACATAAAACTTATGTCTTACACCGGCAAAAGAAAACCTAGCGGAGGCCACCCACTAACTGGCTAGTTATTCGACATATAGAATTTTTGACACAAACTTAAGGTAACACTTGCTTCTCGACAAAGTCAAGACCAGGAATTCCCAAATGAACTACTAGTATGCAGCAGCCAGCAGATTGTCGGCACCTCCATCCATTCACGACGCGATACGATTAGTGCCTCTCGCCACGGATCCTGGTAGCCAGATGAACATCTTTGGGCATGATGGTGACCCGCTTGGCATGGATGGCACACAGGTTGGTGTCCTCGAAGAGACCCACGAGATACGCCTCTGCCGCCTCCTGCAGAGCAAGGATCGCATGGCTCTGGAAACGCAGGTCACTCTGCAATGCATATATATAGCCATGCATGAAGTTGCAATCAATATTACAAATGTTTAGAAAGAAAAACCCAAGGAAAAATTGCAGATCGATCGTGCATGTGGTGATCAAATTAGCAACTGTACCTTGTGAAGCTGGGCAATCTCCCTGACGACCCTCTGGAAGGGCATCTTCCTGATGAGCAGCTCGGTGCCCTTCTGATACTTGCGAATTTCACTTGAAAGAAAATAAATGTGAGGTTCAGATTCAGTTGTGAGTTGTGGCACGGTTACTTGCATGAAAATTACAGCCATACAATTGAATTGATAGCAAAGCAACCATAAAATAAAATCAGCCAGCTGTGGTTGCACTTGCACGTACCGAAGAGCTACGGTTCCAGGGCGGTAACGGCGAGGCTTCTTCACTCCTCCAGTCATTGGCGCTGTCTTGCGAGCAGCAACCTATAATGATCACCAAGCCATACTAATGTTAGAACAAGTTTCAACACGCAAGTACTGATGATACTTATCATACAAATTTTACATATATACGTACAAAGATACTTCGAACGAGTTGCTTCCTTGGTGCCTTTCCTCCAGTCGACTTACGCGCCGTACACTTGGTACGAGCCATCTTGTAAATTGATGATTGATCATGTAAAAAATAAAACCCGAGGAACAGAAATAAGTATGTATTATATATAACAGGAGTATCCCGCATCTAATTGAAATGTGCACAGAACTACATACAGTAGCATATGCCTAACTGAATCATGTAATGTAATAGTAGGAAAATAAATTGAGAACACGTATGCAGATAAAGACAGATGTATGAATTGAGATGTGGGAACTACACAGTGCAAATAAAGGCCAGTCAGCAGGGGCTTCATGATGTTTCGAGCATTATTGAACAGAAACCTAATTCATCACCTGAATACTAAAGGAACACTAATTATTATTGAGTTGCCGTTTCCTCTCTGTTACAATATCAGGGCATAACAGCACACAAAATTTATCAACACTACGACAAAATGATGAATAAACCCTGAGCAGAGTGGGGATAGATTACTGTCTAGCATAATCATATTAGAGTTTGCAATCCATAATTTCACACACTAAAACCCTAGAAACACATGCACATTATAAAAGCAACAACCAAGGTCGTCCAAGCACAGCCAATTGAATGAACTATACAAACAAAAAAGCGTGTGGCAGTAGCCAACATGTAGCTAGATATATGGATATATAGCAGATAAAGCAATCACCAAATCTGTTAGTACTGCACAAATCAAAGTAGTGTAATAAGGAGAATAAGTAAACACCAAGGAGATGGATTAAAGTAGTAATAAGGAAACTAAGTAAACACGAAGGAGATGAATCAAATCAAAGTAGTAATAAGGAGAATAAGTAAACACGAAGGAGATGATGGGTCTATTTAGTTACCTCTCACAGATCGGTGTGTGCTAGCAACTGCTACACTACTGATGATGCCTTCTACTCGTAGAGCTAGGTCCCTCTTCAGCCGCGTGAGCCCGTGATGTAAATTTGCCGGGGGGAGGGGGCGCTATTTATATAGGCACGTACGCGAGAGACGCACAACGGACTCAGGTCGGTTCCTGCATGATCGTTGATCGGGCGGCTCTGATTAGGATGTGCCACGGATTGGTGTAGGCAAACACTGGATTCTTATTGGCCGGTGGCACTATGACGCGGATTTATCTAATTAACCACAGCATATACGATTTCCTTCCGTAGCAGGATCGATGCATATATACGAATACGAGTAAGGATCAAGCTTGCTAGGTCGGGCGATTACCTTTTCTTCCTCGCATCTGAGCCCTTTGGCAGGGGTGGGCGGCCGCGGCTCCGGCGGGGGTGGGCGGCGTCGACCCCAGCAGGAACTTCGTCGAGGCTGCGATTGCCAGCCGTGGGCGGGGTCAGAGCAAGGATCCGCCATGGGCGGGGTCGCCCCGGCTGAGGGCAAGGGCGGCCAGGGGAGACCTCTCCTCCGGCGAGACCCCGTCCCCTCTCCCCACGCGCCCAGACCTGGCAGCCATGGTCGACCTCTGAAGCTCTGTTTTTCTGCGAGCGCAGTCTGAGTGTCTGACGGAGGAAGAAGACCGCGGTGCGGACGAGTGAAGGCCGAACCGCTGAAGAGGTAGGAGTACCGCAGTTGGACCTTTTGGGCCGCGTGCACGTGATGGGGACTTGAAAAGCCCACGCGCATATGGCCCAGGCGTGAGTGCGTCAGCCGTGACCCATGAGGCCTCTGATGAGGTGACCAACCTCTAAATCCCTAATGTTGTAAAAAACAGACTCATTGGCTATTACAACATGTGTAACATCTCGACCTATTTTTGCAATATCGATATACAACACTTGCAACATACTTCTGAAATATCTGAAACACTTGAACATACTTTTGCAACATCCGGTTTTCACCCTTCTTCTTCCGTACGACGCGACACACAGCGAGGGAATGGCCAATTCCGGCAAGACAGTGACCGAGGATGGTGGCGCGGCCTGGCAGCGGCTAGCTGCACCTGCGTCTGGCTTGGGCCCAGCCAGCGACGACCCCCTCTCCTGGCCGCCTGGCCTGGGCGCAACGGAGGACAGAGCATGGTATGGCGCAGCATGGGGGATGACGTCGGCGACGCGCTAGAGTGGGCTGCGCGCGCGGCAGAGTGGTGTGGACGGCCACGCCGTGCGACGCTGACTGGGAAGAGGAGCGTGGGGTGGGAGCAGATGATGCGGCGGCGCGCCGTAGAAGGCCACGACGAGGAGCCTCACGCTGGAGAAGGGAGCAGCACTGTCTTTTTTTTGGAGAAGCAGACCGGCGAGCGGCGCTCGATAAGGTGGAGTGCGGTCTGATCCGACCGTCCGTGCGAACACCCTATAGGGAGCATTACCGTGTAAAAAAAAACATCTACATCTCTGATGGCTTGTCTTACCAGTCAGCACCGCGGCACCGTGCTAGAATGGGCGGCCAACAGTGGTTCGACTCCAGCATACAAAGGGGGGGAAAGCACGGTAAGTGAAATTGATCCATACAATTATAGATTTGATTGTATTTGTTGTTGTTGTCCGACAATTCATCGATATTTTAAACTTCGATTTACACCATTCTTTGAATGTTAGTTGTAGACTTAAAAGATACTATAGCATGGTTTCGGGTCTATATATCGGTACAGATGAAACCACACAAACACATCTCCAGTTTGGCTAGAAATGAGACTGTGACATAGTTTATGGATATATAAATATATTGTTGCTAGAATAATGCCCGCGCATCCGACGAAATTGAAGTTTCGAATAAAAAGCTATTAATTTTTGAATCTTGAGGCATTTAAAATATTATTGAAATATGTTTTTTAGAAATCTTTTTTGCACTTTAAACATTTTTTTTATGTCAGCATTCATATTTGTAGTGTATATGGGCCGGTGAATCTCGGTGGCTGATCAAACGACTCGTGTGCATTGATTTCTTGTATTTGTAGTGTATTTCAGATTTTCTTTTCCAAGGGAAAATATGTATATGACATCATCTTATGACATGCTGACATCAGGCTCCAAGAGCAGAGGACGACCCGCTCGGCCGGTGTTGGGCGGGGCGTTGCTGCATGCACGCACGCGTGCGCGGAGACGGCGCAGTCGCACAGGGGTCTTCTGCGCAGCAAGGCTCGTGGCCGGGCTTAGGAGTTAGGGCCTGGAGCTACCAGCGGCGTAGCACCGGTTGTCTAGGTAATGACGCTTGGTCGGCGCCGAGCTCGATTGACGGGTGCGAGCGGGACGTATAGAGATGCGACGTTGACAATAGTAACGCTTCCTTGAGTCCGTGTCGGAAAGGAGCGCCGTGGACGTGGCCATATCTTGCGAGGCGGCCGTCGGCTGGGGCAGGGCGTGAAGTCCATAACGTGGCCGTATCTTGCGAGCCGGCCGGGCACGCACAGGACCGTAGACTCTAGGGCCGGGCGCGCACACGATGTGCACGAAACTGCCTCTCCCTTTTTATATGGTAGTAGATTTTCTCACATTATTACTTCTTATTTTCTATTTGATTGCTCTTTTACATAGATTAGAAGAAAAGTTCGTCATAGGTGGATTTTTATCCTGAATCTGACACTAAGGGCGCCCATGGCGAGTAAGGCCAAAGCCAAGGATGTCGGCACAAGTGCGGCGGCCATGGAAGGCACAGCCGAGGCCGGGACACCGGACGGCGGTTGAAGTGATGAGCGGAGGTGGAGGTGTCGAGCCCAAATGTGTCCGTACGGGGGAAACGAAGAACATGGTGACGTGTTTGGACGCATAGTAATCATTTAAAAATATAAGAGCGATCCACTTGTATTTTCTTGTGCACAGCATCACCGGTGTAATTAAAATGCTTTTTCTATTTAGGAGAAGTAAAGAAACCAAAATCTATTTATAGCCTTCTAGAGCAAAGTTCCAGCATTTGGCTGCTTGTGCCAGGAGTCAGAATTAAGCTCGCCATTTATTGGCTGCTTGTTGCCTAGAGCTAAAACATAGAGATCAATGACATCGATTATAGTTGGCCAAACGGGCGGCACGACCCGAGCCCGACGTGGGCACGACAAGGCACGTCACGTTTCGACATGGCACGCTTCAGCACGACATCATGACTGTGCCATGCCGTGTCGTGTCACCATCTTGGCCCAGGCACGACACTACAGCTCATTTGTCGTGCCGTGCCAATAGTAGGCTAGCAATCTATGCTATATGTCTTTTGATGCAATAGGAAAGTATTTGGACTGTTTTTCTTGGTTATCTTCTGGATATTTTGGAGTCTGCATATCATGGTAAGTTGATAACATAGTCATTTTCTCATTGAAGATATTGACTGTATTCTTTGGGACTATGTACTTAGTTGTGCTGAGCTATCCTGAGAATTATTCTGTAGATGTAGGTTTAATAATATCAAAACAGCAAGCAATCGTATAAGGAGTAAGTGTGCCAAAGTTAAAGCTTTCTCTATTCATGTATGACACATGTTCATGAGCCTCTTCGCAAAAAAAAAAAAAAAAAAAAACATGAGCCAATATAACTTCTCAATGAATTCAGTACCTTCCTGTTGCATTGATCTATTTCATCTTTTCAATGCTAAGGGTACTTGTCCTGAAAGAATGGTAATGCTTGCATTGATCCTTTTTTGTATGTAATCAGCAGAGTTGTAAAATAATTGGTGTTCTGGTCTTGCAATGTTGTGTAGATAACACTTTTTAAGTATTTAGGCATGAATACATGTGTTCATGGTACTGTTATAAATTTTTGCATGCTTGAGAATACTTGCGACTGTAGTGTGACTATTTTGCATTTATAATTTATATAGTGAGACCTCATATATAAATTTGATTCTTTGGTGTTTTTCTTCTTTTCAACGGGATCACTCAGACACGGATCCATGACATGTTCATCACAAGATACTAGAATGGAGAGTAAAGAAGCTATGTCAAAGCTTAATATAGCTACAATATTTATGTTATATCATTTAAAGTTTGAGGTTATAATGACATTCTTGTAGTAATTTGATTTTTTTTCTTGATGATTGTACAAACTATTTGGCTAGATATTCACAATTGATGATGGTTTCATTCCATATTCTTTTTGCAAATATAATTATTTAAATGCCTTGTCACGCAAACTTAAGTGTTGTGTTATATGTAATGTAACATTTGCACTTCGTTGCAACAAATATAAATACCTAAACTAATTATCATGGATTCATGGCAATATGACTTACTGCCACCAGAAATATTGCATTGCAAAAGCGAAGAGACATCCTCCATTACAACCAATATTATTACCACGGACTATTTTTGTGGCAATAAGGTCTATTGCCACCTGACACATTGCGTTGCAAAAATACTCTAATGCAATGAGACATCATTCCTTGCAACAAATAATATTACCACGGACTAACTTCTATTCCAATATGGTCTATTGCCACCTCACATAATACACTGCAAAATGCTCTAATGATATGAGATAGAATCCGTTGCAACAAATGTTTTTACCATGATATAATTCCCGTGGTAACAGTGCATATTGCCACCAGGCATATGGCGTTGCGAAATGATCTAACGCAACCAACCACGGTATATATGCATGACAGTAGCTTCTACTGCCACGAAATATATGTGTGGTAAACAAGCTTGTTGCTATGCTTCTACTGTCTCAATATACAATATTGCCACTACGAGATTCGATGCAGACCAATCAATTGCAAGGCATAATTACATTGCAATTAGCATGGTACTTTCAACAGAACGCAAAACCATTACAAAGACCTTTCACCACTCGTTTTTATGTGACTGCTGACAACGGAAGTGATACTGTGGCAACTGGCAGTTGTTGCCACGATTTTGTCCCTATTGCGTGACGATTTTTGACCATTGCGATGGGTCGATTTCTACAGGATTTGCCCCAGGCACAAGTGCCACTGTGGGTTGGCTCGGCCACCGAGCACGGGGCGAGGATGGCACAAGCTTCATCCCAAGAACAGAGGCGTTGGGAGAAGGAAAGAAAGAAGAAAATTTCGACATTTCATCGTCTCGGTCTACTATGTAAAGTTGTTTTTGCTAAGCGGGATCATAAAAACAGCTCGACTTCATGAGCAGAGCTGCTCATTGAGCTCGACTTCATGTAAAGTCGTTTTATTGCTATGAACTTAGCAGCTTTGTTGCATTGCATTGCGTGCCTGCAGGCACTGCTAGTACAAATCAAATTAGAATTTTGAGTATGGTGAACAACCGGAGAGAGTCTCCACGGTGAGAAGTAGGCGTATGCCGGTCCATCCGCATCCCCTTCCCGATAGCCCACCCCTCTCTTCCAATCCGATTCTTCCAGAGCTTGAAGGCAAAATCCAAGCACAGATCAACACCTACTTAGCTGATCTACAGATTCATCCGTTCAGATCTGCCTGAGGTTGACATATGCCCTTGTTCCAGGCTCCTCAATCGACTCTTGCCGGGTAATCTCGCTCTGCTCCTAATCGACAAATCCACTGCCAGTTGCCGATTCTCCGCTTTCCCTTCCCGGAATGCTTTATCTGATTGAGGAAAGAAACCCAGGTTTCACTCTTGTCGAGTCTTTTGTTCATTTTCTATTTCCTCTCAGACGGTCTCCAACGGCGTAGGTAAACGCAAACCCAAACGCAAAATGCCTACGGCACAGTGTTTTGGGTTCCGAAATCACGCTCCAGAAGGCAAACACGACAGCCATTTTGCGTAGCATCCGACTTGCAAGGCAAAAAAGCGTCTTCGTTCTCGACGACGCAAAACGAGAGAGAGAGAGGGAGCAGGTGCGGGGCCCGGCACAGGGGCGGGGCAGCAGGTGCGCCACCGCAGCAGGGGCAGCCCTCGCCCTACGCTGGTGCGCCGCCGCCGCAGGGGCAGCCCTCGCCCTGCGCCACGCCCGCGCCCTCGCTGCGGCCCACCTCCCCGCCGGCGCGCGCCCTGCTCCGGTGCGCCGCCACGCCGAGGGGCGCCCGCGCCCGGGCCCACCAGCGCCTCTGCGCCACCACGAGTCGAGCAAGACAGAGAGAAAAGAGAGGAAGGGAGAGAAAGAGAAGAGAGGGGAAGAGGGCAGGGAGGCAGAGCGGAGGCTCCTGGTCGCCGGCGGCTGGCCGGTGTTCCAGCGCGAACTGGCTGGGGCAGCTGGGCGGCGACGGTCCTCGGGAGGAGCTGAGCAGGACGGGGAAGAGAAGGCAGAGGGGGAAAAAAGAAGAGCAGAGCAGGAGAGAGGAGAGGGCAGTGAGATTTGGAGCTTCCTGCTCGGTCATCCGTTGGAGGGTCAAAGGAATGGGTGCGTAGCTTTCATTACTGTACGTGGGACGTGTAAAATGGGTATTCGATTTGGGTCATGTCATCGGAGTCACTCAGAACACCATGCATTTTGCTCGTTCCAACATGCCGGAACCCCTACCCGCTGATCCCAAGCCGCCAGATCCCCCAATCCTGCCCTCTCCTCATCATCCGCCTCCTTCAAGCCAGATAAATCCATCAATCTACACTCTGATTTCCGGGCCCGATGAGCCTCGTGCTCGTCCGGCTCCCTATTCCAAGCCTCCTCTGATCCAAACCCAACCGGAGGGTGCGGGTCTCTCTCTTCCCTCCATCTTGCTCGCTACTGCGGACGACAGAGCCGCGTCGCAGCCATGGCCTCCCGCGCCACTTTGCCGGCAGCGCCACCGCCTGCTACCCCGAGCAGCCGGAGCAGCTGCCGCTGCAAGCCGCCCGCCTCCATGGCTTGCAGCCTGCAGCCCGTCGCAGGCCGGGCTGCGCCCCATAGCTGGTGCGCCTGGCAGAGTGGTTGCTGCGTCGACAACCTACCTCCGCCGCCATCGACCACGCCGGTTCCCGTATTCCGCTTCCGTCCTGGCGTCCTCTCCCCCACTCCATCGCCGCCCCGATTCCACGACTCGGCGCGGGCGTGCCGTGGATCTCGGCGGTAACTCCGACCATCGCTCCCTGTCAAGCCATGGTGGCCGCGGACTCCGTCTCTGCATCCACCATCTCCTCCTTCCTCTGCCTGCACTGCCCGCTCCGTCTTCGAACCCTCGCAAGCCAGGATCAGATCCAGCTTTCCTCTCCAACATTGAGGAAGGCAGGATCTCTATCTCCGCTCTAATGGCTGCACTGCAGGCCAACCATCCAGCTCAGGCTCAAGGCGGCCAACATGGTGGACTGTGGACTCTGCCTGCTGCTGTGCCTCTCCAAGATCACCCAGATGCTGATACTCAGGCTCTGGCGCCAGCCTCCAAGGCGCCACGGGGGCCATGAGTATGCTCGCATGGAACTGCCGAGGCTCTGGCGAGAACCTTCGCAGTTCCAAGATGACACACCTAGCCCGCCTAATCAGTTCGACTAATGCGCAGGTATGCTTCATTTCAGAAACTAGAAACTCTTCCATCAAGCGAACTGCTCTTATCAATCGTTTTAGTTCCTTCGATGCATTTATGGTTCCATCGCAAGGCCAATCAGGTGGCCTTTGGCTTACATGGAACGACGCCGTTAATCTTACTGTAGTAGATTACTCCCCCAACTACATATTTGCTTTGTGTTCTCATAGTCTTAGTTCCCAGCAGTTTGGTTTAGTTTGCATCTATAGTGACCCACATCACCGAACTACCAATGCCATATGGAATCAAGTGCTAAATTTTGTTGTAAATAATAGCAACTTGCCTATCTTATGTATGGGGGATATGAATGATTATTCATGTTAATGAAAAAGTAGGACCTGGTAGACCTAATGTGAGACGTATTAATGCTTTTTGTGATCAAGTGAAGCAGTGCGGTTTTATTGATTTGGGGTACAGCGGCCTGGCCTACACTTGGTCCAACAAGCGTTTCAGCACCACCCCAACGTTTCAGCGCCTCGACCGTTCTCTCGCCAATGCGAAATGGTGTTTGGCTTACCCCGGGACGATTGTCTACCACCTCCCCATGCTCCGTAGTGATCACGCTCCAATTCTCACTATCCTCAGTTCTACTCGCAAACGCACTAACAAACCTTTTCGTTTTGAGAATTGGTGGCTCATGGAACAGGACTACCAATCGGTGGCGCAAGAAAGCTGGAGTCGCTCGGCCTCTCGCTCCTTTGTCCACAAGACTAAGTACCTTGCGTCTGACCTCTGTAAGTGGAGAAAAAATAAGCCCAAGCTATCTGATCAGCTTGCTACGGTGGAGGAGCAGCTGCTTCAGCAGCAGTCCAAACCCCCCCACCAGCAAGATTTTGACCTCCAGAACCAGCACCACTAGCTTCTAGCTAAAGATGAGGAATTTCACCTTCAACGGGCAAAGAAGAACTGGGCGACTCAGGGTGATCGCAACACCACCTTCTTCCATCTCTCCATCACCAAACGAAATAGGAAAAACAGGATTTCTTACTTACAGAACCCCGATGGCTCCCACTCCACTACCCCAGAGCAATTAGCTGATACACTCATCGCCTATTTTCAGAATATCTTCAGTAGCCCACTGAGGCCCCGTTCGCTTGGAGGAATCTGGAGGAATTTGTGAGAGGAAAACACTGTTCCGGATGAAAAAAGAAGCGGATCAAGCCGGGTTTAAGGGCACGCGAACGGGGCCTGACTGGAGACCATCACATCTATATTACTAACTCTATTACAGCATCTGTTGCTAACCATCCTCTTGCAGACTATGCTGAACCAGATGCAACCGATGCAAACTACACCAACTCAGTCCCTGACGTTCAGGAATTGCACAACATCATCAAAAACATGCGCAGCAATGCCTCTCCAGGGTTGGATGGACTAAATGCGGCCTTCTACAAGTCGGCTTGGCCTTGGATATCTCAGGATGTTCACAGCCTGGTAAGTGACTTCTATACCACTGCTTTCCTTCATCCTGAGGTCAATCAAACGTTTATTACTCTCATTCCTAAGAAAATGCAACCTATCCTTCCTCAAGATTTCAGGCCTATAAGCCTTTGCAATGTTATCTATAAGATTATAGCTAAGTCGCTAGCTGACAGGATGAAGGTTTACCTCCCCTACCACATTGATCAATCCCAAGCTGCGTTTATTAAGAATAGGCATATTTCTTCGAACATAGTCATTACCCAGGAAATCATTCACTCTTTCAACCTTAAGTCTTGGAACCAGCAGGCGTTTCTTCTCAAGCTTGGTCTTGCTAAAGCTTTTGATCGTTTGGAATGGGATTTTATTGATACTGCTCTCTGGCGTCTGGGGCTTCAGGACAATTTTATTCGCCTTTTTCGTGCTTGTATTTCCACTCCTTTCTCCATCCTTGTCAATGGGGAGCCTACGGCTGCTTTCTCCTCTCAGCGTGGTATCCGCCAAGGATGCCCGCTCTCGCCCTATCTGTTTGTTATCGCTATTAATGAGCTCTCAATTCGCTTGCAACATAATCTTCTCAACTCCAACCTTTCTGGGGTTTCCCTTGGTCCTGGCTGCCCTCCTATTCACTCCCTCTTGTTTGCTGATGATCTCATCCTCTGCGGGGCTGCTTCGGTGCATGAAGCCACCACCATCCGCAACATTCTGCAGGATTTCTGCAACCTGTCCGGTCAGGTCCCTAATCTCCAGAAGTCCTCTATTCTTTTTAGCAAAAATGTCGACAGTACTACCAGAGCCCGTATCAGGGATATCTTCCCTGTCCCTGACCTTCTTCCTAGCACCATGCACCTTGGCCACCCTATTATTTTCAACCACAACGATAGAAATAGAGCCTACGAGTTTATCATTACCAAATTTAGAGCCAAGTTAACCACTGTCAAGGCCAATAAGCTTAACCATGCCGGTAGACTTACCTACATTAAGTCTGTCCTAGCTTCGATCCCGGTGTACTACATGTCCACGGTCCTCTTCTCTAAGACCTTCATTCATAAGATCAATGCCATTATTAGAAGATTTTGGTGGGCCGGCACTCAGGATGACAACCCCACTTCTCCTATTGCTTTTCGTTCGTGGGATGATATTTGCCAGCCTAAGGAAAATGGGGGTCTGGGTATTAGCGACCTGTATACTGTCAATAAGAATCTTCTCACCCATGCTGCTTGGAACATTGCCAACAACAAGAACCCTTTTCTTACCTCTGTTCTTAAGGCTAAATACTACTGGACTGCCAACACCTCTGGTCCGAGGTCCATTTTCTGGTCATCTATTTTGCAGGTTAAAAAGGACCTTTGTAACAACTCCATCTATCAAATCCACGCAGGTAATAGCTCTATTTGGTCTACTCCGTGTTCTTTATGGAATTCTATACATGATCACATGCTTTTACCAGTCACTAATCTACCTTTGCCGGCTACAGTTTCTCAGCTGTGGATTCCTAACACTCGTACCTGGAATATAAATCTCATAGCTAACATTTTTTATAACCAGGCTATTCAGGCTATCACTAATATTCACTCTGTCCATAGTGAACAGCAGGATGTTCTGAGATGGCTTCCATCCAAGAATGGTCAATGCACAATAAAAAATATCTACAGGCACCTAAGCTCCCAGATGTTGGTTCAGCTTCCCCAGCATGGATCCAGGAGCATCCACCCTCAGGCTAACCAAATCTTACAGAGGGCCTGGAAAAGCAAGGAATTATCTCCTCTAATCAAGGCTTTCACCTGGAGACTGATAAGACGAGCTCTTGCCACTGCTGACAGGGCGGCCAGGTATGCCACTCACATTGATAAACACTGTGCAGCTTGTGGTGCGGTGGAAGATGACGCCCACCTCTTCTTCCATTGCCAACTACCTCGGGCGGTTTGGTTCTCAGCCAATCCTCCTATTAGAACTGACAACCTCCCACAGGAGAATGATGGAGTGCAAATAACCCTACAGGCTTTTATTTCCAACTCAATCCCTAATGCTTTATTTAACAAGATTCTAATCACTATGTGGTATCTGTGGAAAGCAAGAAATGACACTCGCTTCCAGAGGAAATCCTGGACCCCTTGGCAGGTTCACCAGGCTGTGGCTGCACATATAGCCAACCAACTGGCAGTGCAAGAAACTCAACCCCTCCTCACAGAGTCACACGCTTCAGGAATGGACAGGGAGCGTCACCCATCAACAACCACCCAGACCACTCGGTTGTTCCACACAGGACCTCCTACTACTGCGACTGCCTCTGCCCTGGAAGAACAGCACACTCACAGCAACCATCGAGGGCAAGGTATGACTGCTGTCGTTTCAGGAATGGCCGAACACCAGGAGCAGGCGCCCAACAACTCAACCTCTCCTGAACAAACCCACAGCAACCCTCCCACCAGGACGACTACTCTTCTACACCCCCACCTCAGCATGATCACACCACACCAAGGTACTATTACTTCTACCTTTGCAGGTATCGCTGGGGCACCAAGAGACATACACATCATCACCACGCCGGCTCTTATCCCAGGAGTCAGATGCTACACTGATGCCTCCACACCACCAGACCACCAACACCTGTCTCCCAAAACAGCTGGTCTCGGTGTTTTCTTTGTTAACACACAGGTTCAGCCCACCCAAACGATCTACATCAAGGCTTACATGACAGGAGTGGAGTCAGTGCTGATGGCAGAAGCAGCGGCGTTAGCGCTTGCAGCTGCTGTTAATGATCGGCTAAATTTCAACAATACCACCTTCTTATCAGATTGCCAGAACGTGGTACAGTTCATCAATGCTGCTGACCAAAGCACTCCTCTGGAGTGGAGGATCTTACCTTTCACACAACTGTTTCTGAACCTCACAACAAATAGGCGTTCAGGTCTCTACAAGATCAACAGAAGCCTCAACACAACAGCTGACTCCCTAGCTAAACAGGCATACAACATAGCTCAGTCTTCTCAGCCTTCTTATGAGCCTGTATGTTTACATTCTGCTCATGTTAATCAGTGCCCAACATTGGACGCACTGCTATCTGTATCGCTACACTCTGTACGCATCATTGCAGCTAAATGCTGCTGAAATAAATATGTTTGTTGTAAAAAAAAACAAATTAGAATAGAAGATATATGTTGTTAGACTGAAAAAACGTAAAGTGTACATATATATATGGAACCTATCTGTGTGTGTCCATGGCAGTAGTACCATGTACTGCAGCTAGCTATATGCTTGTTTGTATCCTGGACGTACGTGTACCGCTGGCACCGTATTAGTCAACGCGTAATGTTCCGATGGCCGGCCATGTGTCGGGCCGGCCAGGCGCGGCAACGGCCATGGCCATGTCCGCGCGCTGCTGCTTGTACCCGCGGCTGCTGGGCGACACGCGCTTGGACTCGCCCCACTTGTGGAAGTCGTCGCGTTCCGAGCCGTCGGCGTCGCACTCGGGGAAGATGGTGCCGTTGTAGCGGTACATGTCGTGGCACACCGTGTAGAGGAGGTACCGCCGGCGGAAGCGCCGCATGGCGGCGCGCTTGACGGGGGTCATGACGGCGCAGTCCGCCGTCATCACGGCGACCTGGCACTTGGCGTCGGCGGCCACGAGGTCGGCGGCGGCGGCGGCCACGGGGCAACCGCTTAGTACGAGCGAGGAGAAGTCGGCGGCGAAGGGCGCGAAGGCGTAGTCGACCTTGTACCGTCCGCCCTCGGTGGCCCAGGCGGAGCCGTCCCAGATGGTGGCATACACGGACATGGGCTTGGACGGGAAGTCGCCGCCCATGGCCGGCACGCGGACCACCTCGCGGATGGGCGTCCCGTCGACGTAGAAGAGGATGGCCGTGGGGGTCCAGGCGACGGCGTAGGCGTGCGGCCGGAGGGTGGGGTCGAAGGGGAGCAGGTACCGCTCCTCGCGGCCGCGGGAGGTGCTGCCGTTGCCGTAGATGTTGGTCTGCACGCGCCACTCGTGGCCACGGCGGTTGCCCAGAAGCTCGAAGTCCACCTCGTCGTGGTTGCCAGGGAACACGTCCGCGTTCGACAGCTGATGAATTAATGCACAGCACACGCACAATTGATTAGTTATATTAAATCAAGCTACTGTATATTACCTCGGTGAGATTGTTTTATCTACAGATTTGCTATCTCATAACCTGTTATTTCGTTGGCCAACCAGCGGCGAATCTAGAAAAAACTATGATCGGGGTCGACGCAAACTCATGATAGAAATTTATAGTAATCTAATAATATGATACATGCAAAATATAGGCATAATTATGAAGCAGACTGCAAAAATTAAGGATTCATATATAGGAGCAAAATTAATAATATTATAATAAGATAAGAATAAACTTTTTATAATAGTGGTTACCTCTTATAATTTCATTCTATGGGTACGATCATCCAATTCTGGAAACGAACTATGACATCGTCATTTGGGATTGCACCAAGAAATTCTTGTTCCACGAAGCAAACGACACAATCATTCATAAATTCATCCCCAACACGGTTATGTAGATCTGTCTTCACAATTTTCACTACTGAAAACATTTTTCCACTGATGCTATGGCGATAGGAAGAACTAGCACAAGTTTGAGGAGTCGATATACCAAAGAAAAAGCAATATGTTTTTATGTATCCACCATGAATCTACCAAATTCAAAAATAGTATCCAATTGGACAAATCTTGCATCGGCTCGCACATTATCAATGTAAATATGAAGCTCAAGACTAAGATCGTCTAGCTCATTTGAATCAATTCACTAGGATATGCATTTGCCAACTCCATCGAACTCTCAAATTTGAAAGCATCAAAAGAATTCTTAGGATTGAAAACAGCAACATAGGTAAGCAATTCAGAATTTACCTCATTAAAACGCTCATTAAATTTTGTAAACTACAAATCAATAATTGGGTTCAGGCAATCATATTTGTAGTGATCATCACAAGGGGATTTTTCCTTTCAAGAATCCTTCCATTGTGCTTTGATTGGCTATCAAATTAGTGAACACAATTAAACACTAAAGTAGATATTGAATAACAGCAAGCAGCCTGCAGCCATGCGTATATTTCCTTACCTGACATGTTGATACTGCTCCAATCAGCCAACGCCACACCGGCGCCGGCCACGACAAGATATGGTGATATCTGCAGGCTGTAGCGCCAGGCTGTATTGCTGATTGCAGTGAGGGGGGCGATCGCAAAGGAAGAAACCTAGAAGTTGAATCAGAAAGATGAAGCATTGGGCGGCGGCCGGTCTAGACAGAGTAATGGATGGCATGATTTTTGGGCTTGTTAGCTTCTTCGCTTCTGTTGTTTATTAGCTACACGATGTCCATCCATGTATTTATATTGGGCTTTTGCGTTTGCGGCCTGCTGGCCTTCACGGGGGTCCAACATGGTGAGAATACAGGGGGTATCGCTGGTTCTACGGAAGTCATCGGGGTCGGTGGACCCCGACGTTTTACTGTAGATTCACCCCTGTGGCCAACAACCGGTAGCCTGTTTGATTGGCTGGTTCGTTTCGTTGTTGGTTTACAAGAAGCCATAGCTAAACGAACGGGCTCGGATCTCTGAGCGTCCGATGATCCAACGCTTGCGTGCGTGCGGCGCAGTTTGACCACCACGCAAAGCGCGCGCGGGCAGCCGCTCCGCTCCAGCTAGTAGCTTAGATTAGTTCCGGTCAAAAGCTAGCTAGTACGTGTAGTACTCGCCAACCGCCACGGAAAAGCGCGATATTATCGATATCCACCGAGTGTGCTAGCTACATGTGCTCCCTGTTCTACCGCTTGAAGACAAGATCTGCTATCTGTTGTTCCATTTGTATTTGATAATATTTGTGAATAATTTGATATATATTTCTCTGATGTCTGAAATTAATAGAAATAATTTGTAATTTGTTTTGAAAATTTTGGCATGTATTTGTGTTATTCCCAACTTACATCACTCTGTCTAATAAATTACACCGAAGAAATCATTGTAAATATAATAATAAGGCGATATAAATATAGCTATAAGACAGTGTAAGTGTAGAGAAAAAATCTAGTTGTTGAGAGGGGTTAAAACAACCAGTTATTCGCTAGACAGATTCTTTATCTATTATCTATATCTATACATCTATACAACTAATAATAATAATAATAATAATAATAATACAAATAAAATATAAATAAATAAATAAATAATACCTAAGCCTATCGTCTTATCACCCCGCCAAAAGTTTCCACGGAACAAAAAAACGGAACGGACTGCTCGGAGGAAAAAAGAAACGGGAAAAAAGCTCCACGAAAAAAAAACGGAACCGCCCTGCGTTCGGAAAACTGCCGCTGGGATTATACGATCGTAAATTTCTAACCGGAATAATATTTTTCTCTCACATCAAACCAGTCAGCAGTACTTCTTCACGATCTGCAACGAACAAGCCTAGCCAAACGAACAGGCCTGGACTCCAAACGCTGCCCAAACTCGTCCGAACATAAAACTACCCGTCCGTACCGAAGCCAAAAAAAAATACAGGAGACTACTTATATAAAACTAGTGTGCGTTGGACGGAAACCCGGTACATATTAGAATCAGGCTATGTATCTTTAGACGCGAGTGCTTGTTTTACTTATGAATCTAAATCACATACGAGATACAGATGGCGCGGCTCTGTATGCCTTGGAATCGGTCTTTGTATCGATCATTGCTAGACGCGAGTCGTTTTAGCTTGTATGAGCACGGGCCATATAAATACTGATTACATACAAGACATAAAGGGTGTAAGTGCAGTTTGCGAATAAAAAAAATGAGACGGAACAAACTCTCCATTTTTCGGTAGTTAGAGGGATGGGCAAAAAAATAGACTAAAATTTTGGCTTTTAATATAGAATAGAAAAGGTGCATGTGAAGTAAAATAATCCACGCACACTAAGGCAAAATAGTGTTCTAAAGGTCTGTTTAGGACTTTTTTAGCTAAACATGTGCATATCCATAAACTCTGCTCTAGAAAAATTAATGTTAGGGTTGTGAGAGCATGCGGGTACTCCAAATTTTTTTTGAGTTAGAGTTCGTGGAGTGGAGTTGTTGGAGTAATCCAAGCAGACCCCAAGTAAATTAAAATACATAGAGTTCCGACACTATACTAATTGTTGAAAATTATGCACAAAAGAGTTTTGCACTACAACTTGTTTGACCTGCCTTTTCTAAAGGGTTATAATTTCATCTTCATTCTTCCCCACTTGGGAAAGAACTACTTGTACTGTTCATAACTGAAAAAAATATATAAATCAGTCCTGTAGACCTAATTTGCAACCAAAGAAAGCATATGTTAGTTATTGTTTGATTTGATTTGATTAGCTCGATTCAGCAAATTGGTTTTATATATAGAGGGGCGCGTCTCCCAATTGAGTTCATGTCCGGCTCCTTGACTTTTTTGAACTTAGATTAGTAACATGATGTTTGGATATATAATACAATAATATATATAACAAGATGGCATTTTGCTTCCATATTTATGGAGGGGAGGAGCATGTCACGGACTCGATTTTGGCTCCTGGGGAAAAAAATCTGAGTTCCGGACTGGAGTTTGCAGAAAAGATAGAACAACTTGATTTTTGTGATGGAAGCCAATACGAATAAGAATCAGACTCGGTATTATTGCTAGACATGTTGTTTTACATACCTCGATACATATAGATATAGATTAGAATTCCTATTCAAGTTAGAATTAGAATTAGGATTAGAATTTCTTCAGGCTCAAAGGGATCTATTTGTCCTAACTATCTAGCATCATATAAGTCTAGACGGAAGAAACTCTTGATTACCGGTAGTTAGAGGGAGGTGGACGGAAAAAATGGATGGACGAAAAGAAATGGCCAAAAATTTTGCCACTTTGCATCGATCAGTGCTAGACGCGAGTCCTTTTAGCTTGTATGAGCACGGCCACATAAATCCTAGTTACATACAAGACACAAAGGGTGTAAATGCAGTTTGTGAATAAAAAAATGAGACGGAACAAACTCTCCACTGTTCCGTAGTTAGGGGGATGGGCAAAAAAATAGGCTAAAATTTTGGCTTTTAATATTAGAATAGAAAAGGTGCATGTGAAGTAAAATAATCCTCGCACACCAAGGCAAAATGGTGTTCTAAAGGTCTGTTTAGCATTTTGTTAGGTAAACAGGTGCATGTCCATAAACTTTGCTCCAAAAAAATTAATGTTGGGGTTATCTCCAATTTTTTTTTGGAGTTAGAGTTCGTGAAGTGGAGTTAGTGGAGTAATCCCAAGTAGGCCCAAGTAAATTAAAATACATAGAGTTCCGACACCATACTAATTGTTCAAAATTATACACAAAAGAGTTTTGCACTACAACTTGTTTGACCTGCCTTTTCTAAAGGGCACCAAAGTACAAATTATAATTTCATCTTCATTCTTCCCCACTTGGGAAAGAACTATTTGTATTGTTCATAACTGAAAAAAATATATAAATCAGTACTGTAGACCCAATTTGCAACCAAAGAAAGCATATGTTAGTTATTGTTTGATTTGATTTGATTAGCTCGATTCAGAAATTGGTTTTATATATAGATGGGCCTAAAGGGCACGAAAGTACAAATTATAATTTCATCTTCATTCTTTCCCACTTGGGAAAGAACTATTTATACTATTCATAACTGAAAAATATATATAAATCAATCCTGTAGACCCAATTTGCATCCAAAGAAAAGCATATGTGTCGGTGTTTCGGGTTGCCACCGACTAGTAAATTTCTAATATTGCGCGTCTAGCCCGGATGATGTGCTAAGAGGACACGAGATTTATACTGGTTCGGGCAGAATGTCCCTGCGTCTAGTTTCTTTGCTGATGCTCGTGTTACTAGCACTGAAAGTTCGTAGTAAGGGTTACAAACGGGCGAGAGAGAGACACATCCCAAGTCTCTGATGGAAAGGGTGAACGGGTGCTGAGGGCTCGGTCGCCGCTCGGTTGTATGTTCGGGGTTCGAGTCCGAATCGGTGTGATGTGCTTCGATCATTGGTCTGATTTTCCGTCTCATGCCCCTTGTGGGA